AAACTTCAACGTTACGAACGGCGTCGTTTTTGTGGGAAAGTTTTGCACCAGAGCTCCAAAAAGGCATTCATAACGTTGGAAAGTTGCAACCCTATCGCACTTCGTGGCTTTCATGTTCGTTTCGTCCTAGCCAGGCTAGGACGCAAAACAGCTAGGACGCACAATATCATAACGTTGGAAAGTTGTGAACCGTGACAAAACACCGATGCATCTTGCCAGTACACATTCCCCCGGGCCACATTCTTGAGTGCCGGATGCAAAACAGTTGGCACTTGTGCTCTTCGTGTTCCCAGAACACAATGCCCAGGCCACATTCTGGGTGCCCGGAGCCAGCTCTAGGCCATTTTGTGCTTTGGTTTGGTTGCTTAGCATTGCTTAGCGTTGCTTGGCGTCGCTGTGCGTTGCATGAACTGCACCGCGTGGCTCGCGCTACCTAGGTTGCATAGCATGCGTTGCACCGCCTAGATTGCACCGCGTGGATTGCAAGACATCGACGTTCGGGGGCCACGCTGGCTACTATTCGTTTGTTCAATATCTCGTAAGTAGCGCATAAGGGATACTAAGTTAGCGTTGTTGGAAGGCCGTGGATGTAAACAATAAACGCGAAATTTATTCATAACATTGGATTTCGCCATTCAAAGCCCGCGAGTTCCAGGTAGGGCAAGATCGGCAGCTGCCCGCGAAAATGTAAACAATAAACGCGAAACACGGAAACACTTTTTTCAACCTGGGGCCGTTCATGCCTAGCTTGCGTTCCATATCTTTGAATGGCGGAATTCAATGTTACGGATGGGTTTCGCGTTAATTGTTTACATCCACGGCTGCCATTTTGTTACGGGCCCAAGACTACGCTGTTACGGGCCCCAAGACTACGCTAAGCTCGTACATTTCCCGACACTTTTCGCTTCTGCCACCTTCAAATGCCTGCCGCATTCACGCGTTGCTTCGGCTGGCTCTCAGGCGTCCCACAGGGTTCCACGGACCACAGACGACCCCCAGGTCCCACGGGTGTCGCAGGTCCGACAAGCCCCACTGGTTCCGCAGGTCCCACATGTGTTGCGGGTCCCACAGGTTTTGCATGTCCCACGGGTCCCACAGGCCACAGGGGTCCCCCAGGTCCCACAGGTGTTGCAAGCTCCTCGGGTGTCGTAGGTCCCACAGGTCCCACCAGTTTCGCAGGTCTCGCAGGTCCCACAGGACCGACAGGTGTCGCAGGTCTCAGGGGTCTCAGCAATGCAAAGCAACGCAAAGCAAATCACAAAATGGCCTAGAGTTGGCTCCGGGCAACCAAGATGTGGCCTGGGAGTGGTGTTCTGGGAACGCGAAGAGCACAAAGTGGCCTACAGTTGGCTCCGGGCACTCACGATGTGGCCTGGGAGTGGTGTTCTGGCAAGATGCATCGTGATTCCGGGCAAGAGTTTCACACTTTCCAACGTTATGATTTTTTGTGTCCTAGCCTGGCTAGGACGAAACGAACATGAAAGCCACGAAGTGCGATAGGGTTGCAACTTTCCAACGTTACGAATGCCTTTTTGGAGCTCTGGTGAAGGACTTCCCCACAAAAACGACGCCGTTCGTAACGTTGGAAACGCTTAAATAAGAATATTCAAATATTCTTTATTCAAGAAACTTCAACGTTACGAACGGCGTCGTTTTTGTGGGGAAGTCTTGCACCAGAGCTCCAAAAAGGCATTCATAACGTTGGAAAGTTGCAACCCTATCGCACTTCGTGGCTTTCATGTTCGTTTCGTCCTAGCCAGGCTAGGACGCAAAAAATCATAACGTTGGAAAGTGTGAAGCTCTTGTCTGGAATCACGATGCATCTTGCCAGAACACCATTCCCAGGCCACATCGTGAGTGCCCGGAGCCAACAGTAGGCCACTTTGTGCTCTTCGTGTTCCCAGAACACAATGCCCAGGCCACATTTTGGGTGCCCGGAACCAGCTCTAGGCCATTTTGTGTTTTGGTTTGGTTGCTTTGCATTGCTTAGCGTTGCTTGGCGTCGCTGTGCGTTGCATGAACTGCACCGCGTGGCTCGCGCTACCTAGGTTGCATAGCATGCGTTGCACCGCCTAGATTGCACCGCGCGGATTGCAAGACATCGGCGTTCGGGGGCCACGCTGGCTACTATTCGTTTGTTCAATATCACGTAAGTAGCGCATAAGGGATACTAAGTTAGCGTTGCTGGAAAGCCGTGGATGTAAACAATAAACGCGAAATTTATTCATAACATTTGATTTCGCCATTCAAAGGCCGCGAGTTCCAGGTAGGGCAAGATCGGCAGCTGCCCGCGAAAATGTAAACAATAAACGCGAAACACGGAAACACTTTTTTCAACCTGGGGCCGTTCATGCCTAGCTTGCGTTCCATATCTTTGAATGGCGGAATTCAATGTTACGGATGGGTTTCGCGTTAATTTTTTACATCCACGGCTGCCATTTTGTTACGGGCCCCAAGACTACGCTGTTACGGGCCCCAAGACTACGCTAAGCTCGCACATTTCCCGACACACTTCGCTTCTGCCACCCTCAAATGCCTGCCGCATTCACGCGTTGCTTCGGCTGGCTCTCAGGCGTCCCACAGGGTTCCACGGACCACAGACGACCCCCAGGTCCCACGGGTGTCGCAGGTCCGACAAGCCCCAGTGGTTCCGCAGGTCCCACATGTGTTGCGGGTCCCACCGGTCCCACAGGTTTTGCAGGTCCCACGGGTCCCACAGGCCACAGGGGTCCCCCAGGTCCCACAGGTGTTGCAAGCTCCTCGGGTGCCGTAGGTCCCACAGGTCCCACCAGTTTCGCAGGTCTCGCAGGTCCCACAGGACCGACAGGTGTCGCAGGTCTCAGGGGTCTCAGCAATGCAAAGCAACGCAAAGCAAAGCACAAAATGGCCTAGAGTTGGCTCCGGGCACCCAAGATGTGGCCTGGGAGTGGTGTTCTGGGAACGCGAAGAGCACAAAGTGGCCTACTGTTGGCTCCGGGCACTCACGATGTGGCCTGGGAGTGGTGTTCTGGCAAGATGCATCGTGATTCCGGGCAAGAGTTTCACACTTTCCAACGCCGTTCGTAACGCTGGAAACGCTTAAATAAGAATAATCAAATATTCTTTATTCAAGAAACTTCAACGTTACGAACGGCGTCGTTTTTGTGGGAACGTTTTGCACCAGAGCTCCAAAAAGGCATTCATAACGTTGGAAAGTTGCAACCCTATCGCACTTCGTGGCTTTCATGTTCGTTTCGTCCTAGCCAGGCTAGGACGCAAAAAATCATAACGTTGGAAAGTGTGAAACTCTTGTCTGGAATCACGATGCATCTTGCCAGAACACCATTCCCAGGCCACATCGTGAGTGCCCGGAGCCAACAGTAGGCCACTTTGTGCTCTTCGTGTTTCCAGAACATAATTCCCAGGCCACAGTTTGGGTGCCCGGAGCCGGCTCTAGGCCATTTTGTGTTTTGGTTCGCGTTGCTTTGCATTGCTTAGCGTTGCTTGGCGTCGCTGTGCGTTGCATGAACTGCACCGCGTGGCTCGCGCTACCTAGGTTGCATAGCATGCGTTGCACCGCCTAGATTGCACCGCGCGGATTGCAAGACATCGACGTTCGGGGGCCACGCTGGCTACTATTCGTTTGTTCAATATCACGTAAGTAGCGCATAAGGGATACTAAGTTAGCGTTGCTGGAAGGCCGTGGATGTAAACAATAAACGCGAAACTTATTCATAACATTGGATTTCGCCATTCAAAGGCCGCGAGTTCCAGGTAGGGCAAGATCGGCAGCTGCCCGCGAAAATGTAAACAATAAACGCGAAACACGGAAACACTTGTTTCAACCTGGGGCCGTTCATGCCTAGCTTGCGTTCCATATCTTTGAATGGCGGAATTCAATGTTACGGATGGGTTTCGCGTTAATTTTTTACATCCACGGTACTACTACTACTCCTTACTAACACTGCTTTTTTACTGCTAGACTACGACTACGAGTACTACTACTTCTACTTCGACTCCGACTCCTACTCCTACCATCTCCTATCCTATCCTTCTTCTTATTAGAATATACTCTACCCCCCTCAGGCCGGCAGATAGCGGGCGCATCCGGGTGGTCCCATCCTAACCTGTAAAAAAACAAAACAAAATCAACATTTTTCTTATTTTTTCCTCTCGACATGGACGTCCTGTCGTCCACGGCGATAATCCATTGCAAAAAATACCACAAAGAGCACACGCGCGCGTTCATGTCAGAATCCTACCGAACACCGTGTGTTTGCAAGCATTTCAACATAAAAACATCAAAAACCCAATGCTTTTTCACAAAAATTGTACAAATTTCCCGCCCGGGCTCTCTTGCTGAAATCATAGGAAAACCATAGGAATCTTAAGAATTCGGTCAAATCCAGCGATTTCACGTCATCGCGCGGTGCACTCGCGATGCTCTGTCATGCACCCAGGCCGCGAATCCTGTGCAAAAAATACCACAAAGAGCACACTCGCGCGTTCATGTCAGAATCCTACCGAACACCGTGTGTTTGCAAGCATTTCAACATAAAAACATCAAAAACCCAATGCTTTTTCACAATGATGCTTTGGGGTGTCCTGTCAGACCGTCGGGCTTCCTCCGGCCACCTCTGGCTTCCTGCGGTGTACCGGGCCATTCTCGACTCGTCTGGCAATGCGTGCGCGGCATTCAACACGCGCTCGCCAGTTCCCGTCGGCAACCGCCATCGCGGCCGCATCAGCTGTACCAAACCGGCTGGCCGGTGTGACTTCGGCCCCCAGTTGTGCCAGCTTTGCTTCTTAT